ATGGCGTTCAAAATTTTATCTTAAATATAATATAATAAAGAATTTGATAGTTCTATAGTTTTTTCAGTTCCTTAAAAATTATGACCTAAGATGTAGTTTTAGCCACCAATTTATATTATCATTAGGTGTACCTCGCTTATGCCCCTATTATTAAATCATCTTGTTTTTTGGATAACGAATCTACCTGATTTCAAAATAAATTTAATATGAATTTTTACTAAATTTTCCAAATATAATTTAATTTAATCTTTTTTAAAAAAAAAGTGTTTGTTACTTATAAATAAATTTACTAGTCTACAAGGAATTTTCATCAGAGACCAAAATATACTTTTATAAACTCATTTTTACACATATTTCAAATCTACAATAAAAGTTTCGCATATCAAATAAATAACAATGAAATCGTTCTAATTAATATGACATATTTATATTTGATTATTACGTTATATATGAATAATCAATAAATTTGTTTTAATTGAAAATAAGTTGAAAATTGTTTACTTTTTATACGCATATTTAAGTATTGATCCTCCCCGTTGTATAAAGGGTAGTGACCAATTAAAAAAAAAAAAGTACATCAAATGAAAGAGGTAAATAAATAGTATTTTTCGTAAAATAAATGTATTAATCCATACATTTTTCAAGAAGTTATAGCATTATAAACTTAAATATATAAAAAAGAATTTTTTTACAAAAATTGTATTTTTTTATTAACTTTGATGTCCGTTTTCACCATGAAGACAAAATAAAGTCAGTAAAGGGTCAAACTTATAAAAAATATATACAAAATGATAAGTAAATACCTCAAGTATTTACATAAAAATAAAATTTTATTGATTTGGTTAATTTTAAAAAAGTTATGACAGTGTTAAGTAAAAAAAATTTCAAAAATTAAAAATCTTTAAATTTGTAATTTTTTTGGAGGTTTCCCACATTTATGGGGAACAAGGGAAATTTTTTCAATTTTCGAGTGTAATGTCTACGACTAGATATGATTTGTGAATTTTTGAGATATTGTTGAAAGAAATCGGTTTAGTGAAAGCTGAGAAAAAGTGGTTACAGACAAAAAAAACCCAGCACAGGGGGGTCGCGGCACAGTGGTGACGTGGCATAGATGGATCAAGTATAATGATATCTGACAGTAATTAAAATCACTATCAAAAGAAAAACGCTTCGATGCAAATCTTTAGATGGAGTTTAATTTTAAAAAATTGGTGGATTATTCCAAAAGCTACATGATCTGCTAGTTCATTATTAATATCCTCATTAAGATAAAGTATATCGAATGAAAAAGGGATAATTAAAAATATTATTTCTCATAAAAAAATAATGTTGATCCATACATTTTTCAAAAAGTTATAGCATAATAAAGTTAAAAATGTAAAATACAAAATCGAAAATTTTCACACAAAAATAGCATTCGGTAGCCATTTTCACCCCGAAGATAAAACAAAGTCCGAAATTTTTTTTTTTCAATATAAAGTATATTACATTAGCTTTAATTTAAGATATATATAAAAGTGTCAGATCTTCCGGAACACTTTCAAAAGTTAAGTTGAAAAAATTAATTTTTTGTAAAAAAGTTGTCATTTTAAATCCCCCCTGTGGGCAGGTAAAAAGTCAGATTTATAAAAAAAATATACCATATGATAGGTAATGACATCATGCATCTATAAAAAAAAGAATTACATTGATATGTTTATTTTTAAAAAATTTACGGCAGTTTTTAGTAAAAAAAATTGAAAAAATTTCGAAAATTAGCGATTTTTAAATTTGTAATTTTTTTAGAGGTTTCTCCATTTACGGGGAACGAGGGAATTTTTTTCAATTTTTGAGGGTAATGTCTTCGACTAGATACGATTTGTGATCTTTTGACGTATCATTGAAAGAAATCGGTTCGGTAAGAGCTGAGAAAAANTAGATACGATTTGTGATCTTTTGACGTATCATTTAAAGAAATCGGTTCGGTGAGAGCTGAGAAAAAGTGGTAACAGACACAAAAAAAAATAAATAAATAAATAAACACATCTTAGTAAAATCTTCGCATCGAAGCTAAAAATCATAGTAAAACTAATACCTTCTTAGCTTCGCATCGAAGCTAAAAACGATAACACAGCAGGGTCGCGACGCAGTGTGAACGTTGCATAGTTGGGATAAGTATAGATAAGTATTTCTGACAGTGATTAAAATCAATATCATAAGAAACGCTTCGATGCAAACCTATAGATAGTGGTTAATTTTAAAAAATTGGTGGATTATTCCAAAAGCAACATGATCTCCTATTTCTTTATATTCTGATTACAAGTTTTATGATTTATAAGTATAAATTATGAATTAATAGTTATTAGAGCAATTAATTATAGTATGAGATTGATATTTAATAATTTAGTATTGTAATTTTTACAAAGAAATTATAGAAAATTATCAAGTATTTATTACTTTAATGACAAACAAAAATAAAAGTTAAAAGACTTCATACAATACTTTTTTTAAAAAAAAAGTGTGTGTTACTTATAAATAAATTTACTGGTCTACAAGGAATTTTCATCCGAGACCAAAATATACTTTACTATATCCATATTTGCGCCTTTTCAAATATGCAATTAAATTTTCGCATAGTGACTAAATAATAACAAATCTCTCTAATTAATATAACATATTTATTGTTATGAATACTTAATTTAGTTTTATTATTGTTCTACAATTATAATAACAGATAATCATAAATTCAATTGTAATCGAGGTCGGCCTATAAGAATGTGTTTATAAGGTATTTTTCGGTGTTACAAAACCGGAAAGGGGGCCGACTGCGACTGTTGTAATTCAGAGCATCGTTAGTCATTTGACAACTAATGTGCGATTACTATTACTTTTTTTTAATAAACTAATTAATTATTAACTCGGCAATACTATTTTATTTTATTCTATTCTATTTATTACATAACAATCTACAAAATAGAATAATTTATTTTATAAAATTTTCTATTTAATGATATAAATTCATAACATGCAATTTGAGTTAAAATAATTTTAAAGTTTTAAACACAATTATTGTGTTTAAAAGTTTTAGAGAAATCAACTTGAGAGGATCAAAAAAATAAGTAAAAAAATGTCATTTTAAGTTGAAATTTTACACGGTTTATTTGTAACATATTAAAAATCAATAATAACATGATAAAAATTTTTTTTTTAATTAATATTTTCATGTGTTTCTTATCAGTAATAATCTCAAAAAGAGGTGATAGAAAAAATCGAATTTCAGACTTCAAATCAGCATAAAAATTTGGTTTAGTAAAATATAATGATCTCTAAATCACTATCATAAAAAAAGCTTCGATGCAAATCTGTAAATAGTAGTTAATTTTAAAAAATTGGTGGATTATTCCAAAAGCAACATGATCTCCTATTTCTTTAAATTCTGATTACAAGTTTTATGATTTATAATGAAAAAATGGCAACAGACACAAAATAAAAAAACTCATCATAGTAAAATCAATATTTCTCAGCTTCGCATCGAAGCTAAAATTTTTTATATAAAATGTATTGATATTTTAAAATCAAGCGTTAGTTAACAACTTTATGAAAAAATAAAAATATCTATTTTTACACAACATAAAANTGAAGCGTTAGTTAACAACTTTATGAAAAAATAAAAATATCTATTTTTACACAACATAAAATACACACATTTACAGAAATATTCAGTTTTTTCTTTTATTTTTTTGAAAAAAAAAATTTTCTCAAATTTTTAGTTTTCTTTTTTATATTTTTTATTTGGTAATTTTTTTTATTTGTAAGAATTTGTTTTTCAATTGCCTTGTTCTCAGACAACTCCTGTAAAATATGTAATAAGTAGTTAAATAATTTACCAATAGTGTTACAAAATCATACCACAGAATTTTCAACAGTCTTGAAGTCTTGTTGGTTTATAATACTTTTCTGTAAATTTTCATACTCATAATGACTTTTTATTCTTTTATTTACAATATCTTTTACATCTTGTTTAATTAAATCTAGCAATACATTGTCATCATTAAATTGAAAATTTCCCAATATGATTTCAAGTTTCATGCTGTTGAAATATAATAATGAATGATTTTCAATAATGTTATCTTCAACAAAATTCATGCGAGCTTCTAATCTTAATTTGTTCAACTCATAATAATCTATATCCAATTTATCATTCAAATACCATTGATTGCATTCTTCTATTAAATCAATATTACATTGAAGATTATCTGTTAAATTTTTTATTGTTTTGTCTTTTCTGTCTACCTTATTTAAATTTAAATCAACATAACTTTGAGGTAAATTAGACTGGCATTTTTTAGTATTCAATTTTAAGTCATCTAAATTTTCAGTTTGAGTACCAATTGATGAGTTTTCAACTCTAATAAAATTGCAATTTTGACAATAATCACTAATTACTGTAAAAATCAAGTTTTAGATTACTAAAACACTACTTTTATTAAAGTATTTTTATTTCAATGATAATTTTAAGCAGGTATTTTCTAATTGTTAGTTTTTTTAGAGTATAACTATGTTTGTTAACTTACTGTGATTCATATCAGTAGTTTTGGCTATAGAAATATCTTTTTTCAATTTAGTATATCGATCTTCCAAGTCTTTGTACTTATTACTCCAATGCATTTCTTGTATTTGCATAGTATTATCTCCAGGCGTTTGTAATAACTAAAATATAACGGTTTATTTTTAATATGAAGGATTCCTAATACAAATTTGTTTTCAGTATTTTAATTNTTTCTTGTATTTGCATAGTATTATCTCCAGGCGTTTGTAATAACTAAAATATAACGGTTTATTTTTAATATGAAGGATTCCTAATACAAATTTGTTTTCAGTATTTTAATTTAAAAAAATAATTTACGCGATAAATTAGTTTGTTTGTGTGCATTTCATTACACTCTTTTTTTGATATATTTTGAGTAGATATCTAAAACAACATTATCCAAATTTATTAGTAATATTCATACTTTGAATATGTTACGTACAATGAAGTGAGAATAAACGTAAAAAAAAATTAATTTTAAAAATAAATCAACATAATAGTTATATAATTTGTTTTAAGTCTTACTTCATTAATTTTAAAAGTTGTTTTTTTTATGTAGATCAATAATAAGTCAATTACTAGTTGTGATAAACGAAATATTTTTTTTGTTGGGCTTATTTTTTCAGGGTTGTAATTTAAAATACTTGGAATTAGTGCTGTAAGAGTCTTTAGGTCAGTTTCTTGAACAATTTTTTCGACTTCAACAGCGTCTATAAAAATTTAATTATGTCTAAGAGTTTGTTTTTGCACTTTAAGTATAAAACGAATTTATAATGACAAAATAAAAACTTCGTATAATTTGGCTGGTGTCAAAACTACAGTTTGTACTAAAAATAAAAAAAACTTAGAAATACGAGGTAATTATTAAAATTAGGAAATGGAAGACAAGATTAATTAAAAATAATTTTCAAAACATTTTTGTTCTCATCATTTTTTTATTCAATAAACCATTTGAGTNAAAATAATTTTCAAAACATTTTTGTTCTCATCATTTTTTTATTCAATAAACCATTTGAGTCATAAAATTTAAGGGCTCCGTGCAAAAACGAGACAAGTCCACTTTTTTTCAAAAGTCACTTTTTGATGTTATCATATGTAGATTCTTTTTTTTTACAATTGTGTGCAACAACGAGACATGTCCAATGATTATTTACGGAGTTATTAAGTAAATGGACTTGTCTGGTATCAGATATTATGAGCAAGAACCAGGTAAGTCTGGACTTGTCTGGTTTTTACGCAAAACTGTTGGCTATACTGCAAATTAGTATTGATAGTATATATTTGTAGATATTCGTAAAAATATGTTACTGATAATATTTTGNAGTCATCTAAATTTTCAGTTTGAGTACCAATTGATGAGTTTTCAACTCTAATAAAATTGCAATTTTGACAATAATCACTAATTACTGTAAAAATCAAGTTTTAGATTACTAAAACACTACTTTTATTAAAGTATTTTTATTTCAATGATAATTTTAAGCAGGTATTTTCTAATTGTTAGTTTTTTTAGAGTATAACTATGTTTGTTAACTTACTCTGATTCATATCAGTAGTTTTGGCTATAGAAATATCTTTTTTCAATTTAGTATATCGATCTTCCAAGTCTTTGTACTTATTACTCCAATGCATTTCTTGTATTTGCATAGTATTATCTCCAGGCGTTTGTAATAACTAAAATATAACGGTTTATTTTTAATATGAAGGATTCCTAATACAAATTTGTTTTCAGTATTTTAATTAAAAAAAATAATTTACGCGATAAATTAGTTTGTTTGTGTGCATTTCATTACACTCTTTTTTTGATATATTTTGAGTAGATACNAGTATTTTAATTAAAAAAAATAATTTACGCGATAAATTAGTTTGTTTGTGTGCATTTCATTACACTCTTTTTTTGATATATTTTGAGTAGATACCTAAAACAACATTATCCAAATTTATTAGTAATATTCATACTTTGAATATGTTACGTACAATGAAGTGAGAATAAACGTAAAAAAAAATTAATTTTAAAAATAAATCAACATAATAGTTATATAATTTGTTTTAAGTCTTACTTCATTAATTTTAGAAGTTGTTTTTTTTATGTAGATCAATAATAAGTCAATTACTAGTTGTGATAAACGAAATATTTTTTTTGTTGGGTTTATTTTGNTTTACTTTATTGAATAGTATTATAATTATTTATAAAACTGTCAATAAAGCATATTTACTATAGTTTATAAGAAAATTAGTAAATTAGTTTATAGTATAATACAAAACACAATAAATTTTGGGAAAGTTTTTTACAATTAATGAGCAAAAAACCAGGTAAGTCCATATGTTACATACTTTCAAGCTATTTTAGAAGATCAAAAATTTATTTAAAATGAAATTTGACTTCACTCAACTATTTACAAGTCATTCAAGATATTTATGTCGTATTAACAAATAAAAATATAAATTTTTAAAGTTTTGGTGAAATAAAACATGTCCCCTGAACAATTTTAAAAGGTGGACTTGTCTTGTTGTTGCACGGAACCCTTCAATTGTTTTAAGATTTACAGTCTAAATAGAAATTCATCATTAATTAAGTTTTTATAATACCTCAGGCAACAATAACCTATGTTATGAGCTATAAATTATTATCAGTATTTATTATTGATATCGCTATAGATACGTTATCAAAAATTATCAATTGAAACTTAGCGTATGATATCATGAAGAAAAGATGACTACTGCATGCTTAACAGCAAGTCATCAATAGAAAATTGATTAAATAAATTCTAAGCTTAAACAATCAATAAAAAAAACTATGGTTCATTGAGTAAAAAATATAATAATAATAAAATTGTTTGAAAATCGTCTTTTATCATATTAATAAACTGAAAAATAGAGGTTCCCATTAATGAAATTAAAGTTTAGGTTATTAATCTTGAAGGGACAAAAAAAATTATTTAACTACATATTAATGCAGAGTTTTTTGAATCAAAGAATTTTTTTCTTTTACGAAAATTTAAACTATTCAGTAGTTTTCATGAAGATGAGTGCATTATCCTAAATCGAATACCCTATTGACCAATGGCCTTCGGGATATTGTCTTGGTAGAATATTCATAAAAAAATTTTTACTATTCCTCCCTTCAAGTACATATTTATTTTCATTATAGGTGGGTTTACCTCTCATCGCCCTGAAGTAATGCCTAACGGCAGTTCAGAGCGGCCCACAATAATGTCGATTGTGAAAAAAAAAAAAAATGTTTACCTCTCATACCTTCCATAAGAATGTCATAGGAATTTTACAAATGGAATTTTTTGGAGTAAGACGGGAAGGGAGTTGAGCTTTTTCAAACTTCAGAATAATTATTTGTGTTTCTACTTAAAAATGTTTAGCGATGAGAGAAAATAAAATTTAACCACCACAACGCTACTATATCCACACTACGCTTATCATAAAGAAAATCGTTACTCTAACTAAAATAATTTTATAATAAAAATTCTATTTTTTGCTGTGTAGGGGTAGTAATACATTTGATATACAATATAAGTGTACAAATAAAAATCTTTATCTTTAAATATTCCGATATTTGTGTTTCTAAAAATAAAAACTCATTTAACGATTCGAGTTAAAAATATTAAAAAGATTCCAGTTGGAGAATCGGTGTTTTTAGGTTCTGATCATTTATCTGATTTTACACCATTGTGAATAAAAACACTGAACTTTAAGCCAAAAAAGTTTCATTAATGAAGGTAAAAGAATTTATGTAGGAATGTCTTGCAAATATTTAATTTATCAAAAAGCAGTATAAAAATGTTAATTTTATTTTGCCACTCCTGTACGATTTGTTTTTTTTTAGTTGTGTCAATATTCTTATCGATAAAATTTAATGATACCTTTTGTAGATACGTGGTATTGCATTGACAATATAGTAATAAATAATCTTTTTTTTTTATTTTAAAACAATTATGAAATTTAATAATTCTAAATAAAGTTATTATTTATAATAACTTTATATATTTATAAATATATATTTGATATATGATAAATATAATTATATTTATCATAATAGAATAATACTATTATAATTATGTCACTATCATATGAGTTTAAACAAGTATTTTTAGAAATAAACTAATTAAATTTTAAGTTATTACTAAGGATATCCCAGTCTACTAATCCAAAATGCTGATTGAATTGAAATCCACTATTATTGATCAAAAATTCTAAATCCATCATCAAAGCTGGTCATTCAAAAGTGGTCGTTTGTAAGTAATTGTTATATTTCCGTTTACGCAATCATTGTGTGAGATAGAATTAAAAAAATAAAATTACTTCTATCTTACTTTAATAAACAATAGTTAATGTTTCTTTGATACCCAAAATAAATTATTAATATATGAAACAGAAACTATAGAATTTCCCTAGTTCGTGTAATCATTTTATCAATGTTGTTGTATCATAGCAACGAAGTTTTGTCCTAGCAACCAATATCACTGTGGTAGCACATGTGTTCGAGTTTAATGACGGTGTTGGACAAATTTTATTGTAATAATTTATTGTAATTATTATTCAGAATATTAAAGTAAATAATTTAATAAAGTAATATTTCATATATCAAGTAAAAAAATTTAGTTCTTTAGCATCCCGGATATACCGGGAAACTCTACATGAAACTTTATAGTTGTTTCTAGTAAAGCAGAAAAACGTTACAAATAAAGTCATAGTTATATATTATCACTTTAAAACGAACATTTTACCAAAAAGTAATCAAAAACGAAAAACAAAATTATAGGGTATAGATAAACATGTAATAATGTGAAATATAATATGATTATACGTATAATAATAATTATTAAACTGTTATTAATATTTCATAAAACAAAAGCAATTTTTTTCAAACATTGTAATTAAAAATTGTATGTAAGAAATATATGTTAACTGTACCTTATTAAGTTGTTTATAGCAATGATTTTTTTCCCGAATGCCTTTATAATGTTAAACAAAAAAACCCAGCACAGTGAGGACACAGCAAAGTTTGGACCTAGAAGTATAGATGGTATCTGACAGTGATTAATATTACCATCATAAGAAAACGCTTCGATGCGAGCCAGTTAAATTTTATAATTTGTATATATTTAATTTTGCAATTTCTATGTACTTAAAAATTTTATCCAAATATTAAATGATTGTTAAATTATTTGTATGATTGAAAATAACGTTATTTTTTTACTTTGGCAGACGATTTCATAATATGAATAACACGAATAATTCATGATAATAATAATATAAATTGTTCTACTATATTATAGTAGAACAATAGAACAATTTTTATTTTAATATTGAAGTAATTTGATATAGGTTAGAAATGTCAGACGTTCCGGAATATTTTCAAAAATCGAATTGTAAAAAAAAAATTTACATGCGTGAGTGGTCTCTTTAATAATCATTCTGTACTTAAGATTTTCAAAAAAGCATACAAAATAAACTCTTACCGTTTCTAATAATTATATTAAAATCTTATTTCGATCAGTGTTTAAAAAAAAAAGTTACATTAGTTTTAAAATGCAGAAAAAAATTTAGAAAATGCTATTTTTAACGTTAAGAGAATGAGTTATGTTGTTTAAAATTTTTAAAAATGAGACGGTTTTTTTCTTCAAATTTTTGAACTAGAAAGGTACCTTGTTCATTAAAGTCAAGTGAGAGCTGAGAATTTTTGTGGACAGGCATATAAAAACACATACTATCACAAAATCTTTCCTTCTATGTTTGGCTTCAAAGCTAAAATGTAATACGTAAAAAAAAAAATGTAATCTGATCTCCGTTTTATTGATTTATCATTTTTTAAATACTATACATATAGGCCACTCAACAAAGAGAAAATGGCGCAAAAAATTCCAAACCAAATTTTTTTTTTAAAAAGTTGAATTTAGATATGTATAATGACATACTAAAAGTCCTCATCGATTGGACTTGATCCTTTTTTTTACAGCCTCGCAAAAGTTCAAAAATATGGACTTTTTTCATTTTCTCAAAAAATAATTAACTCACAAAAAAAAGTTTCGTACAAAAGTTGTTTAAAAGACAATTTTAAATAAAAAAGGTGTTTTTTATTTTTTCATTTAAACAAATATTTTTCGAGTTACATTACATTTAATATGAGTACTAAAATTTATTTTCCATTTTTTTCATTTTACGGTTACTTTTTATCATGTTATACTTACATTAGACACAATGCTATAAATGCATATGTGTGTGTGTGTGTGTGTGAGTTTATTTATTTATAGTATCATTTAAGTGTAGTGTATATTAAGATACAACCGATAGAGTATGTAATTGATTTGACACTTTTTTTTTTTTTTTTCACAAACCGGCATGATGTGGACCGTCCTGGAACTACCGCGAGGTATTGCCTCAGGGCGGCTCACGCCGTCTAAAATTCACACCACCACGTTGTGAATCAGCCCGAAATTAATCAAGAGCTGATTCACAACGTGGTGTGGCCTCCCCCGTTAGCCGGGTCCCAAAAGTCGGGATCCGTTGCCCGGGTTGTACCACGTGGAGGTGGGGGCAGGACTTCGCGAGGGTTGGCTTAATAAATCACAAACATACATAAAACATAAAAACACAGACACATGCAATAAGCACCTACGGCGCTAGTCTAGCCGACGCCGTAGGTACTCCCACCCTGGGCAGTCTCTGCCACAGACGTTCGGCCTCCTCCTTTTGGCTCATCACTGATTCGGCGAACGCCTGAACCAGAGACCACCCCTCCTGGCTTCTAAGCATCAGGTCCACCATGGACCCGATACCGAACGCGGACCCCAAGCGGGATTCTAACTCCTCCCGCTCGCTGGCCCACGCTTCGCACCGGAAGAGCGTATGCAGAGCATTGTCCGCTTCTCCCGGGCGATCCCAATTGATTTGACACTATATTGTTTAAACCCAACTAAACGCTAAATTGTACGTTACCAAACAACAATTATATTATGTCAATTGCCACCGGAATTTTTGATAATGATAAAGATAATTGTTTATTCTTAAGAAATACAATACTATATTTAAAGATTATCTGTCACTATTTGCCCTATTTTTATTTATTAAATTTTTTGTTAATTTTATTATTTTTACATATAATAATTATGATGTTTTTTGGGAATGACACGGGAAAGTGTAATCAGATAAATAATTTAACAAATGTTTATGAATGATGATGTTGAATTTATTGTTATGTCAAATCACTTCACATTATAAAATAGAATGATGTATAATTACAAATATTATACAAGGTAGAATACAAAGATTTAGAACTAAGACATTGAATTGAGATCAAGAATACTGCGAGTGTTTGCAAGTACATGACGAAACTATGACTTTTTATGTGGAATATAATAGTAAGAGAATATGACTAAACGTCATCCCATATCTCTTGTACAGTACATTCATATTAGTCGACTTTAATCGGACGATTATACTATACATGGTGATTTTACTCAATTACTTACAGAATAATAATAATTTAAAATTTTTTTTTTATTATTATCTTTAGTTACACATTATTCTTGAATTATAAACTATGTAATACTTTTTAAGTTCATCTCTTATGCCTAATAAGAGTGTCAACTTTGTTTTTTTAACATCGATATTAGCAGGTACACAGCACTGTTATTATCAATGATAGTAAGGCACATTGTTGTGAGTTCATAAATACACTAACTGACAACATAAAAAGTATATCTATTGATAGTCATAATTGATAATAAACAATCTGTGACTGTGACAGCAATGTCATAAAAATCCAATTAGCTACCTGTATTTATAATACCTTGTGTATTATACATGTATATTAACTCAAAAATTTGAAACTCTAAATGTTTACATCTAATAAACTAATAAAGTTATACTAAAAATTCAAATGCCATTTACTATTGAATTAAAAATCCAAACATTTTATTAAATTCAAAATATGTTCGTATTTAAGAAAACAAAGTTGACGCTTTTACAAGGCACAAGGAATGAACATAAAAAGTTTTAAATAGTTAATAATTCAAGAATATTGTGTAACNACATAAAAAGTTTTAAATAGTTAATAATTCAAGAATATTGTGTAACTAAAAAAAACAAAAAAAAAAAAATGTTTAAAATATTTTTATTCTGCAAGTAATTGAGTGGGTTATGATAAAAAAATCACTCTGTAGATTTTCTGACGAATAAGGACGTATCTTATATACAGGGTGATTTTTTTATCATAACCCACTCAATTACTTGTAGAATAATAATAATTAAACATTTTTTTTTTTTATTATCTTTAGTTACATATTATTCTTGAATTTTTAACTATGTAATACTTTTTAAGTTCATACCTTATGCCTTCATCCAGAGAAAAACCTCGATCTATATAATAAATTCATTGTTCAATTTGATAAATATATCATTATTATTGAAACTATGATATATTTAGCAATATGATAATTTTTTTTCTCGTCTTGAACAATAATTATTTATAAGAATAATTATTTTGTTCGTATTAATACAACATTATCATAAACCCTTGATAAAATTTCTCTATCAAAATCGATTGAGGTTTTTCTTAAAGATTCTTTTAAATTAAGATTTAAATTAAGATAATTTTTCTTAAGAATAAACAATTATCTTTATCATTATCAAAAATTCCGGTGGCAATTGACATAATATAATTGTTGTTTGGTAACGTACAATTTAGCGTTTAGTTGGGTTTAAACAATATAGTGTCAAATCAATTGGGATCGCCCGGGAGAAGCGGACAATGCTCTGCATACGCTCTTCCGGTGCGAAGCGTGGGCCAGCGAGCGGGAGGAGTTAGAATCCCGCTTGGGGTCCGCGTTCGGTATCGGGTCCATGGTGGACCTGATGCTTATTGTGTCTTAACGGCGAAAATGACTACCGAATGCTATTTTACATTTTTAATTTTAAAATGCTATAACTTTTTGAAAAATGTAAGGATCAATATAATTTTTTTATGAGAAATAACATTTATATACTTCTTTTATTTGACATACTTTTTTTTTAAATTGAGCCAGTTCCCTTTAATACAGGGGGGTTTCAAACCTTTAAAATGCATATAGAAAGTAGAACTTTTTCAACTTAATTTTTGAAAGTGTTTTGGAAATACTGTCACTTTTATATATATATATCTTAAATTAAATGTTATGTAATATAATTTTTTAAGGAAAAAAAAATTTCAGACTTTATTTTGTTTTCATGGTGAAAACAGTCATCAAAGTTAATAAAAATATATCTTTTTCATATATTTAACTTTATAACGTTTTATAATAAAATGTATTGATCATTTTAAGATAAGTACTATTTATATTCTTCTTTTATGCAATATACTTTTTTTTTTAAATCGGACCATTTTCTTTATATATTCATATATTACACTTATAAAT